CAAGGCCCGGCCTGCTCACAGAATTTTAATTTCCCATCTGTATGTTCGCAGGCTGGGAACGGCCTCCCCCCTTGGTAAAATTCTTGCAACTGAGAGATGACTGGCGTCCGCCAAACCTGAGTATCAGCGCTGTCCTCTACAACTGAAGTCTTGCGTCTCTTTGGATTGGCCTGGTAGTAGCTGATCAGACCAGCAGTTTATGTGACAAAAATGCATGATCATTCAGGGGATCCGTCCTCGTAGTTGGAAGCTTTCCAACCCAGATCCTGCGTGAGACACAATTGGGCCTAAATGCACTTTGCTAAGCAGAGAAATTTGAAACGCATCGACTCAGAAAAATATCGTCGTGCCCATAGGAAACAAATGTGAAAAGTTGCACTGGCGCCACCCTGCCTCCAGCGCCAAATCCTCTGCACATTCGTCCTGAAATAGGTTGGGCTTTCATTTCAATCTTGGACCGTTTCTGAAAAGACGTGGCCCGATTGAAAAGGGGTACAAGGACAGGCATGCCTGAAGGAGGCCCTCTTCACGCAAACGCTGCATGTAGTACTCATCCGCCAAAGCCTGACAGAAGCTCATAAAAAGGAAGCTTGAGGTAATGGTAACTATAGTGCCTCTTCAGGGTCTTCACACAACGTGTAGTACTCATCCGCCAAAGCCTGACAGATGCTCATAAAAAGGAAGCTTGAGGTAGCGGTAACTGTAGTGCCTCTTCGGGGTCTTCACACAAACGCTGCTTGTAGTATTCATCCGCCAAGACCTGGCAGAAGCTCGTAAAAAGGATCCTTGAGGCATTGGTAACTATAGTGCCTCTTCAGCGTCTTCACACAAACGCTGCTTGTAGTACTCATCTGCCAAGACCTGGCAGAAACGTGTAAAAAGGAAGCTTGAGGTAGTGCATGGGAACTAACCTTGCGCCTCTTCAGGGTCATTCCACAGGCGTGGGTCTTCCTGCGCGCGCGCAACAAACATGCAGCCTCAACCACTTCACGTGGATAACGAGAATTACTCTCTGACAAAAACTAGGGCCACAGTTTTGCAGAGTTTGTGTAGGTCACACCTCGGTTTCCTCATCTTCATCCTCCCATACTTCATCCTGCCAATCCCATTCAGCAGTCAATTCAACAGATGACCAAATATTGTTTGATAGTTCTGTGTGAACGCCACTAGCCAACCCTGCATCACCGTGTTGATAGTGAAAGCGGATGAAAGTGGCCTCTGACACCCTGCGCTCCACCAAATCTTCTTTGTCGGCAGCCTGGAAATGGACGGGCGTAGTTGTAATTTTCACCTATTTGGGATCAAGTCAAAACGGGACCTTGGAATCCGATTTTTCACCCGACAAGAGGGTCTTCAGCTCACTTGTTAAAATGTGAGAAACGCATCCCACAAGAAGCACAGTAGAAGTTGATGACGGGAAAAAAGAAAGAGCCTCCGGAGAAGACCAAGTTTTGCCCTTTACAGTCTCCAGCTCCAAGTTCGCCTGAAAGCGTTCATGTTCAGGTGTGTGTGTGTGTGTGTACACAGTGTTCGTTCCGAACGATATCGACGCGTGTAGGGGTATAGAAGCGCTATACTCTACTCAGTTCATCCCAATATTTTGCAACCATCATGGGAGCAGTCCAAATCCAATAGCAGACTGCTCAGGAAATCTGCGTTGCCTTTGCAGCCGCCGTTTTCATTTCTGCGGCCTACCAGTGATCCGAATGCGTGAGCGAGGGATCGACATATGGATTAAAAGCCGGGCCTGGAATTCAACATCGTCCTGAGCCGATTGAATGTTCCAACGCCGGCTATCCGATGTTTGTGCATGCACACTGGGGAAGCGGCTGAGGGCTGCGTTTCCAGCCAATCCATTCTTTTGACTTTCTTCGCTAAACAAGCAAGGCGTCGGGCTTGAGCAGCAACATATGTTTCTGTAGATTCTTTCGGGTCATGGTTAACTCTGAATGGAAGCTTTGCTAGCAGTTTCTTGCATACCAGAATGCAGACTTTCCGGGTGAATACACGTCCACGCATGGAACGTAGGCAAGAAAACATACATCGGTTCCTCCGTTTCCTCAGGCTGCATGCGCGGGGGAACAGGGCTGAAGAAGCTTCAATGGCTTCCAAATCCATATGTTGCGCCAGTCGGTCGGCAATCTCGGCTGCCAGCATTTTGCGGCGAGCTTTTTGAAGGGAAATACGTCCCTGACCATCTGGTTTCTTGGGACGGGCCATGGGCTGATATGGACGATGCGATGCCCCACTGAGAGCCCAAACCAAAATCTTTAACACCATGCTCCTCAAGGGTTGTGGATTAGTACATATTGTGCACTATCCATGCAAATTCTGTGTGAAAAACGTATAGTAACATTCATGACCTGGTTCACAAAGTTTTGGTTAGAGCCTCACAGTGCGGCACCGATGGGTTCAACAAAACCACTACAGTAGCAGTGTATAGTTTGAAAGCCTGAGCTGAGCTTCCCACACACCCCGAGAAAAAACTCATCACCATTGGAGCCTCATCAACGTGTAACGTGGCACCGAGATCAGCCAAGCGCGGTAGCTGTGTGGCTGAGCCGGCCACGGACCCACGTTGGAAAGTGAAAAGCCGGCGCGACGGGGCCGACTAGATAGGCCAGGTACACTGTCCTTTTTGTATCACTGAAGTGTGAATTCTAGTCGTTGCTAAAACATGCAAAAACAGTAGGTTTGTGGGACATGTTGGTTTGTCGTCCACGTTAACCAGACAAACAACTGATGCTAACCTGTGGTTATAGTCTGCGTCAAACCGGCGAGCGGGCGGCGAATTGAAGGCAACTCTCCTGTACACATGAACAGCTCCAGAACCGACCCCAGCTTTACTGCAGCTGCATGGGCATATCTTTCTATATTTAAAAACGCTTTAAGATGTTGCAATATTACTCTCTGGGTTTTCGAGTTGCCAAGACGGCGAAAAGAAAACACGAAGCGTTTGCAGGGTTTCATCGTGCACTGCTCACTTCATCCTCAAACCTGGCAACACACCTTTCAAAGAGCCAAGGACCCGAAGACTTGTTAAAATCCGACACGCGGCCCCACGCATCACTTCACCACGAGCTGGGAAGTCTTCTTGGGTAGTGTTTGTCAGTCGTGCATTTCCGCTTCACCACGAGCTGGGAAGTGTCTTCTTTGGGTAGTGTTTGTCAGTCGTGCATTGCCCCCCTCCGGATGTTTTTCACATTAGTGGCTTAAACATCGCGCAAAATCTGCAGCGAAGGAAGGAACTGCAGGGCTCCCAGGAAGATGACATTTTGTTAAACCATAAGTCCGGTGGGCACAGTTAGCCTATACAGCCTGTGGACCTCTGTTGGTTCGCGCCCTGGACACGCGCGATCTCCGCAGAGGGTTGCGCGCGCGTGGGGCAAATCGGACTCTCGCCTGCGTTTCGCGCACTCGACACGCACGATCTCCGCAAACGGCACCGGTTGCGCGCACACCGGACAAATCGCACTCTCGCCTGCATTTCGCGCACTCGACACGCACGATCTCCGCGCACACCGGACAAATCGCACTTTTGCCTGCGTTTCCCGCACTCGACACGCACGATCTCCGCAGAGGGTTACGCGCGCACACCGGACAAATCGCACGACTCTCGCCTGCATTTCGCGCACTCGACACGCACGATCTCCGCAGAGGGTTGCGCGCCCCGCATACAAATCGCACTCTCGCCTGCATTTCGCGCCCTCGACCCGCACGATCTCCGCAGAGGGTTGCATTTTCGGTGGACGCTGTTCGCCCCACCCTCCGCCTTTAAAGAGAATTTGTAAAGTGGGGAAATGTTTTTCATTAGGATATCTCCCGTGAAAGTTTTTTCATACTCACACTTGCATACTTGCACTGGGATACTTACACTTGCATACTTGCACTTGGATGCTTTCACTCTTACACTTACACTGGGATACTCACACTTACAAACTTGGATACTTCTGCGCCATTGTGAGTATAGAAGTGTAGGATAGTGTAAGTGTTCAAGTGTAAGTGTAGAAGTGTAAGTGTTCAAGTGTAAGTGTAGAAGTGTCAGTGTTCAAGTGTAAGTGTAGAAGTGTCAGCGTTCAAAAGATTTTCCGGAAGAACCCTTCGCAACGAAAACAGGAAAAAAGCACAAGAAAAAGCACCAGAAATAGCCCGAGAAAAACTTGAAAAACACAGCTCACGGACCCAAGAGACCGTGGAACCCAAGAACCAAGGGAGGAGCCTGGCCTGCCTGGACTGCCCTTCTTGGTTTACTCTTTAAATTTCACTGCGGTACTCCAAAGGATCAAGAATATGTAGTTGAGAGGCATGGTCAGAATCGTTTCAACAAAACATGGTTGAAAGCAGGTTTGGATGCTTAATGAAAAAGGAACATGATTCATGAGTCATGAGCTTCCAAACTTGACAGGCCAGTTCACCAAAATTTTGGGAACTTAGCTTTACTTAGATCGTTTTGCTTCTGATGCTCACAACAACTGAATCTCATGAGCAACATCCTAAGTCAGAATTGCGAGAAACAGAAATATCCGGCGCTCCCTCAGGGAGCGTGGAAATGCAATAAAACCTAGTTTTTGCTAATACAGGGCCAGGGCGCTTACAATATATGTGTATATATAATATATGTAGTTATTCTTTAACAAAATGTACGCAGTATTTGCGCTCTTGCGCATCAAGATTGCTTCTCGCTCGGGCATCTATTTGGGATTTGAGTCCGCATTGTTTGGTCGCCGCCCAACTACGACAGCGTTCGGAATCTGTGGGGCCGAATGGGCTACAGTAGCCAGCTACTGTCAGGGTTTGGCAAACTGGCCTTACCGCTGGCTTTTGATAAACAGATGCGGTTTTCCTAACTCTGTAGCTGGACAATGCTGGACACGTTTTCCTCGCTAAAAACATATGAGGCCTCATATGAGGCGCAGCGATGTGGAGCACAGCATATCGCCGGCTTTTTCAACTCTCGGGCTCTCGGACTGTCAAAAATTGGCCAACTCTAAGGACATTACATGGTCTCCAGCCGCGTGTGAGAAGCCTGGATTTCCTTCGAGTGGCGCTCAAAGGAGTCACCAACCTGAGAAAACAAAACCTGGAGAAAAAGTGATGGGCCCTACAAGAGAACCTAACTTTGCGCAGTCTTTTGAAGTAGGAGATTACCAGGAAACCGTCTAAGTGCTGAGCCAGCTGTTCAATGTAGTTGAGACGCTCTGCCACAGATGCGTGATGAGCCTGCGCCAACAAATGGCCATTGAGCCTTTGAGTAAGGTGCGAAACACACTTTGAGAAAACGTTCTCTTCAAGAAACCTTTGCAGTACTAGGTGGGGGAAGCTTCTTTGAAGAAGCTGTCCCTGTCTAGTGGCGCTACTTACTAGTAGCTACGTACCTACCGCTGACTAAAAGATACACTACTACGTACTTGTTGGCTCTCCGCTTACCCGCCAACCCCAAACAAAAAACGTGTGAGTCAACCAGTTGGTGTCAAAATGCAACTAGTTTGGCCTCCCGTGCTTTTGCTTCGTCAGCAAGTCGTACGTGCGCAGACTTGGCCTGGGTCACTATGATTTCCGAGCCTCTGAGAACTCCTGACAACTTCGACGGCAAAGCAGCGCGCATTCGCATAATGCTTTCTCCGAGCAGCTTCCCTACCTACCACGCAAGCAGCAAAGGTCAGCAAAGCGGAGCGTGCACTGACACAAGCGCGCAGGATGGCAGGTTGGACTCCGGTCAAGCGATACCAACGCTGGATTTTCGAAGCTCCCCCAAATAAATGTAATTGACCAGAGTCACAAGGAAAAAGGTTAGCGCCTCGTAATTCTTCTCGTACTCTTGCGGGAGACGGCGCTGAGACGCCGCATGACTGCGGCGACGGTAGGTCCGCTTTGCGACGCTCAAGCTCAGTTGCCACATCGACCAAACTCAGCCATCCGGACTTACAGTACTGGTTCAGGGCAACGTTCGCCTCGAGCTTGGTCACGCAGTCCACCAGCATCTTTTGGCGCGGCGCCCACCTCGCCATCGATTTTATGTCTCCTAGAGAATGACCTCACCACCATATGCGGGCTCGACAAGTTTCGCCAGCATGGCCTGGAGCCCATCCACACCTTGCAATATCGCCTGGGTCTCCCCTCCAAAGGTGGAGAAGACCTTCCGCTTCTTGACGATCGCCATGTGACGCGCGAAGCCCGCGCACTTCTGGCAGTCTCTCAGCTGCCAGCACCATCCATGCACTTGAAGGACAACGATGCCAGAAATCGGGCGACGACACTCTCCGGAGCATCGTCCAAGCCGTAGGCTTCGGGGAGCCTCAGACTCAGTCCTTCACACGGTCCTGCAAACAAAGGTCCTCGGGGACACTGCAACTTAAGTCGCTCTAAAATACAAAAACCAGCGACTGTTAGCCTTTGAGGTGTGAAGTTCAGGGTGAGGCTTCCTGCGTCGCACCACCCGAGAAGATATGACGCGATCGGGCCACTTGTTATGAGCATCATCGGCTCCTGCAAATGGCCTCCCAATCCACCTTGTCGGACTTCTCGAACATTTTCTTCTCCTCCTCGTTCAAGGCCTTGAGGTTGATCTCGCGCGCCACCTCTCTTTGGAATCTGCGCCCAAGCGCCTCCATCAGACAGAGTGCCTGAGTTCCGCGGGAGTAGTTGAATCAAGAAGTAGTTTCCACTCCACAAAGCATGAGTTGATCAAATTCTCGAACTCGTCGCGGTCACGAGCTCGAGGAATCCTCCTCGCAAACAACGGCCCGTTCACGCTGGTTCCGGAGTACGCACCGGGTTGACCTCAGCGCCATTGTAAAGGACGCGCTGTGAGCCCTGCTCCGTAATTCTTCGCCAGGCGCGGTGATGGACGCCGCGCTCGAGTCTTGAGCTCGGCGCGGATCAGTCGCTTGTACCATTGCGGTTCTCCTCCCAGCGGTCCGTATAGGAACTCCCATCGGTCCGACGCACTGGCACTTCCCTGGCTCGGGCGAGAGCTCGTCACGATTGCGAAGGGAAGGTGATTCGAATTGAGTAGTCAGTGAAGCTCGATTGCCCATAGGCGAAGTTGAGCCCGAACGCTGCGGCGGTTCACGAACGACAGGCGCATCGCAGTGTTATTTGCGCGTCATCAACTCGAGCGAGGGAAGCATCGAATGGTTGAAGCTGTGGTTTGAGGACATGACTGCCGATCAAGCCCTCTTCCTCGAAACTCTGCTGCCAACACACATTGATTGACTGAAGAGGGGGCCGCGGCCAAGATTGAACGCTCCCTCAACAAGCTGAAGAATTCTTCACCAGCTCAACTCCTTGTCCTCTTTTCCGTCTCCTGCGGGACTGGTCCAGCGCCGCAAACACGTGGGCCACCTGCCACCTGGTCCTCAGTGAGGTCGAGAGCGTCGGTCTCGTTGGCAAACTCTTCATCGTCCAGCATGCGTTCCAGCTTTGGGTTCCAACGCCCTTCCTCCGGGATGGACTCGAAAGCTAGGCCAGTCAGGCGGTCCGAACGCACATCCAGTCGACTCAAAGCCTTGGCGACAGCCGCCGGGTCTTCATCTTGTCCTTGAAGTTAGTAGGGCAAACAAATTCTGCTGGTTCCGCTCATTCAAGTTGGCGCCCTCCCTGAGCAACGTCGTCTTGAAGGCATGTTGGGACGACCACTCCGTACTGGGCTGCTTGAGAAAAGTCACGCAGCCTTCTGGTCGTCCGTGATCGCAGAGCGATAGGAGCGGCGTCGATGATCACCGAGGCAGGCCGACGATGTCAGCACGCTCTCTGCCCAAACTGCGCAAGACCTTGTCCGCCCTTTTGCGCAAGGGCAGGTCGGTGTTCTTGTTCCAGCGCTGGATAGCTTGGACCCAGTAACGTCGATGGGTCCAAGTTCACCGCAAACATAGGCATACACTGACTGCCACTCGACTGGTTCCACCAAACCAGAACCCCATCCTGAGCGCCATTGCCAGTCACGCCACTGCCACGTTGAAGAAGCGCCTGAAGCTGTGCACTTGCCCAAGCAACTGCGCCAAGGATCCGTAGGGGGTCTGGTGTGTAGATGGCCACGTCGAGGTAGTGTCCCCAGCTTGGGCAGCCGCGTCGGTGTAGGCGAGGAAGTAATTCGTCGATGTACTCGGTTGGGACAGGGACAGGGTTCGAGGATGCTACGGAAGGGTCCGGTGGTGAGGCAGAGACCCAGTCATCTCCTCGCTCCCTACTACTACTACTACTACTACTACTACTACTACTACTACTACTACTACTACTACTACTA